ATTTTCTGTGTCTCAATCTGCCGACACCAGAGAACGGGAAGACGAACAACAACAGTCACGGACTTTTCGGCCCAAAATGTGGAGGCTTTGCAATCACTTCGTCTGTAGAGTGAGAGTCTCTTCTTTAACCGCCGGAAGTATCCTGCAGCGGTCGTCACCCCTACCCTGTGCCCCGGCCAAGAATTACTCCAGTGCCTCCTCCGGGGTCTTCGGATATGGGTCCTGGCCGAGGCACCATGGCCCAGGGCAGGGAATGGGTATGGTCCAGGGGTACGTGGGAAGCAGTTTGGCTTGTCCATCGCGCCACAAGTCCAGCAAGTCAGACAGGAGAAGGAACAGAAGACAAGACGTGAGTGCTTGATAGGCAGTATTGAAGGTTCAGTACCCATAAAGACTCTGGCCAGATTGGAAACCTTACGTTCTCTGGAAAGTTATTTTGTCATTTTCCATTGCTAGGGATACAAGTGAAATTATTGGTATTTTTCTCTAAATGCTTTTGTCATTTTCCATTGCTAGGGATACAAGTGAAATTATTGGTATTTTTTTCTAAAATCACTGCACCCCTTTCAGATTAATTCCCTGTTACTCCAGCCACTCCCAGGAATTCACAAACATTACCATATTAGCCAAGTATCTCCCTAATTGTATGTCCCTATTGGGGGCTCTGTCCCTGGACCCTACACAGTCACTGTTGACTTACTCTCTGGGCAGCATTTGTCATGACCTATTTTCTTCATTTCTGATATTCTTTATTTCATGTACCAGTGACTGTAGTTTTTCCCTTTCTTTAGGAATGTCTCATCAGAGTTTCCAGTTAAATCAATTGGATCCAGATGCTTCCCTGCCATCAAGTGGCCCAAAATACAGGCATTTCCTTACTTGAGTGGCCACTCTGTCAGGTGTGGCTTGGAGGCCTGGCACACATGAACACTTATTTGCAGTGACAAGCCTCTGTGCCTCCTTTTTTTTTCATAACCAATTTTAGACATTTACCAGAATCTGTATTTTTCGTTTCATTTGCTTTATCCAGATGGTGATATAGACTGTTTGCCTTGCACAGACTCCATATTATCTCTAGGTAGTCCATAACCCAGTGCAATAGTAATAACAAGTAACAATTTGTTATTTGAGTCTTTTTTTTTCTTAATATTCAGTTCTCAGTAATACAGCTTACTGATCACAGCAACCAGGAATAGGATCCTGGTCATGGAAATAGTGTCCTCCCTGGAGCCAGCTTTTCCAGTCATGGCTCACGGACAGTACATTCTACACTGGCTTATCAATGGAAATAATGCAAAAGCCACTTCCTAAATGCCAAATGAGTCTAACCACCTTCCAATAGCTTTGTGCACTCATGGCGAGTCATTCCCATTACCCCAGCCTTCAGCTGGAATGCTCACAATGGAAAGTTTGCATCATCCTGGCCCACAAAAAAATTTCCTCACATCACCTGCCCCTCAACCCAAATTTTTTCATGACATGATGGTCATGCCATCCAGATTATAGGAGTTAATGGATACCAATTTATTACAAGCACAATTTTCTTATTATCAACCTGTGAAGGAAATACCACAGGTGAAAAGTGTCATACTTTCTGTCATTCTGTCCATTGAGAAAGTTTATCATCTGGTAATTATTGAGAATAGGACAATAAGCTGCTCTGTGACCATCATGCTTTTCACATTGGTAAACCTTGCACCACATATAATTTGGCAAATTTCCCAGATGATTTATCCTTTATAGAACCAGTTCAAGTTGTCTTACCAGAATATACATTATGGTGGCATTGGTGATCACTTGACACAACTTCTATGGATCCAGGTTCTTCGGTACCCGCACATGGCATGTTTACTTAAGTAGCCACTCTAACTGGTGTGTGGCTTGTTGGCTGGACACATACAAATACTTATGTATGGTGACAAGACTCCATGCCTCCCTGTTCTTTTTCTGCATAAGCATTTTAAGCTCTTTTGCCATTTTCCATTGTCCATATTTGTCATACAGTATGCTGTATCCAGATGGCAGTACAATTTTCCTTGCACAAACTCCATATCAACTCTCTAAGTTGGCCATAACTCAGTGAAATGATGATAAGAATAAGTAACAAAGTAACATTTTTTAACATTCATTTTTTTGTAATACAACCTGTACCACCCGATAGGGCAGGCATAAAATGGATCCTCAGCATGGAAATATTATCCTTCCTAAAACTGGCTCTTTTCCAGGGATGCCTCACAGATGCTACATTCCACACTCATTTATCAACTGAAATATCAATGCAACAGCCCCTTCCTAAATGCCCACTGAGTCTAATCACCCTCCAAGTGTTTTGTGCAAATTTGGTGATTCATTCCAGTCACCCAGATTACAGCCAGAATTCTCATGATGGCAGTTTCCCATCACCCTTGCCCTCAGCAGAATTTTTCGATGATGGTATGTTCACTTCACCAACCCCTCAAGCCATATTTTCTCATGAATCATAGGATCTTTTTGTCACAGTTCACTACAGTTTTCACAACAATTTCAGTAGGACAGCTGATATGATTACAATATTATGTGAGAACATGCATTTTGAGAAGTGGCATTATTGGGAAATGAAGCCTACATGATTAGTTAAAGGAGTGTAATCTAATACTGCTTTCTTCTGTGGTAATAGTAGTGTACATTGAAAATGAATTAGTTATTTTCTGTAGAAATATACAGTAATACAGAACTCACCAGAGACTAAGTCCCCAGTTCCAAGCTGCAAAATTTATTCATCAATCAAAGTTGCTGTGTCTGAGGGAGGGGAGGATTAATGAGGGGTTCTGTCCCCCAACACCTCCCTGCAAACATTGTCTTTGCCTCGGTATGCACAGCATGATAGAGCTGAAACTCAGGAGCACCAAGTGGACTTAGGTTGTGAGAACTGTCCTCTGCAATTTATTTACTTTATTTGTGGCATTGCCACTTGTGTCTGCAGATTATTTCATGTACCAACAACTGCTAATTTTTGTCCTCTACAAGAAAATCATCAATTTCCCTAGCTTCACGCATAGATATCAACCAAATATAATACAGCAATTCATCTTTCATTGCATTGATAAACAACCAACTGATGTGGTTTTGTTTTATCTGATGTCCATTTTTTTTTTTAGAAAAAAGCCATTTATTAGAACAAAGAAAATTTTCTGCTGGAGGGAAGAGGTAGAAGTGTAGGAAATCTAATATTACCTCATTGTCCATGTTCTCAATTGTGGGATGAACAGGTCTTCAAATAGTGAGTCTAAAACAAGACCTTCTAAGCAACTGTTTCTCCTCAAATACTGTAACTACGGCCTAAAAAGTACTCTGATGTTTAGTTAACATAACTTAGAGCAGGCTTGACTGTGCATAATGTAACAGTGTCATCAGAGTGTTAGGGATAGTTTGCTATGTTGTGATAGGATGACATTCAGTCATGAATGAGTTAAAGAAACCATATTTTTTTTAGACAAAATAGATTAATAAAAAGATAGATGTGGAAAAAATCCCTTTATCTGTAACTTAGCAGCAAATCTTTAACCCAGTTGTAATGGTATCCTCTTTTATCATAGTATTTTGCATGGTTCTGCTTTGACCATATTATGATAACAGTTTTAATGCTATGTTTTTTTTCATTCATTCATTCTAACAATGACACAAAGATAAATAGGTACATGTATTACTTGTATTTCAAATTTCACTTGTTTACTTAATAGAAAAACATCTATGGAGCATGCAAACCAAAACTGAAATATCATACTCTAAACAAGATTTGCCATCTTATAGCCATACTGTCGTAAATGTCAGACAGTGGGAAGAGTGAAAACTGATACGTAAAAGATAATTTCAAAATATGAATTACTAAAATATTTTTTGAAAGAGCTTCTGATATATTAGATAAATGATTATTGTTTTTATATATGTATAATTTATCTAGTATGTAGGTGTTCAAAGTTAGTGATACCAGCACTAACAAAAGGCTATGAGTGCTGGTAATAAGTTAACCCATTCCCGCCGGGCATGCCATGCCATGGCCACTGTGAGATTACTTGTTGGATTGTTTTCACACATAGATGGCTACACTTGTACTAAATCACCAATGAGCCAGTTATTAGTACCGCCTGTCTCGCCCGTTCACCCTTTTCTTTGATTTACGAAATATTTTACGTTATCTTATTTTGCTGTTACTAATGTAAAAAAAACATTATAAAAATTATAATGTTTATAATAAAAATAACACCTTCGATATTCATGGCACTAGTGAAAAATACGTTTTTCCCGCCATTTCAGATCAGGCTCTAACAGAGCCATCTATGGGCAGACATTTAACAAAAAAGTATAGAAAATAGGCTCAGCATTTTCCCCATTTTTTGTTCATTTTCCCCGGCGGCAATGGGTTAATGTTGATGGGGTAAGCATTAGTTGCCAGTTCAAACTTTTAGGTTATTTTGCTGTAAATAACTAAATATTTGAAGAGATATAGTCATTTAGGTGTTAATAGCAACATTACAGATATTGTCTGTGATCATGTGACATTACTGTGAGTTTGCCATGGTTGTCAGCAAAACAACCATTATTGCTAGCAATATGATGATGATAATAGTCCTCCTTTTTGCAAGTAAATTCTGTGTGCAACTATTTACTTCCGTACCAGTTTCCCAGATTCATGCATCTGGAGCATATATATATCTATATTCAGAAACTTGCTTTACAAATAGTTGAGGGGGTATTGAAAGGAGGTTGGGTAGAAAAAGTCACAATTTGTACTTTTATATTAGAAATAAAAAGGATAATCACCTAAGTATTGGGTATCTGGACAGGCATACTATCTTTGAAATCCAAATGACAAAGGCAGTCTAGGATCAAATAAAGTCATCAGAGATTTTTTTTTTGTTTACTCATCCAAGTTGTACATTAATATGATGTAATATAATTGATAATGCTAATGAAGGTTATACATAAGCAGGATTGGTATGTGTTTGTGTCATCTGTGGCTTAACCTAAATAAAAATATGGTTGAGATTCCTGTAACCTAGCTGACCCTAAATTGAGGAGTCTCCACCTTTTTCTGGTTGGTTGTGAAGATATCTTCATAAAAAAGGAGAGCCATTATTAGCTGATTACATTAAAAACAAATATAGATATTAGAAAGAAATGATCCCACTTATTTTTGCAATGTTTATTGGAACCTAAACATTTTCTCACTTGGTCTCCTGTGGATATGTTCTGCAGTAGGCATTTTATCTTTTGATCGGTGATATGAGTTCTTACCATTTGTTTTGAGATTAGATGTCAATATTAGTGCATAATTTTACCAGTTTTCAGATGATGAAGAGTCAGATGAGGAAGAAGAGTTAGAATCGGCATCAGACTTCCGTGATATGAGAGTGAATGTCTCATCCTTGAGACTGGATGCCGTCCTCAAAGCTGGGCTCAACATGTCACGCAAGTAGGCACATATTTTTTGTTGTAATTAAAGTGCAACGTGTTGTCTTAACTAGTGTATGATGTTTTTGATTTTCTATGATTGCCTGCGAATATCGAAGGTATTCTACGTCAAAATGACATTTTTGTATATCTGAAAACTTATTTGCTTGTACATACAGTATGAAAGAACCTTTATATATCACCATGTTTTTCTTGCCTCTTTATACAAGATTTGATGAAGACTGTATATTTATTACTCTAGTTTGAATAAGACTGCTTTTATTGTATATATCCACAAAGATCTTTAGTTTTCCTGATTCCAAAATAATGGCATTATAATAAAAAGTTGCCAAAAAATTATAGCTTTGAGACTTCCTTTGTTGGAATACTTTTTCAATATTAAATCCCTGTTTACTTTCAGTTTCATCAGTGACATCTATGTTTTAACCCCTTTTGCCCCATTAGGCAAGAATACATGCCATGACCACTGTAATAAAAGTCTACAAGTTCTTAATCACCAAATACCCAGTTATTAGAACTACCTATCTCACCTGTTTACTCTTTTCTTTCACTTTAAGAAAGGGTCTTTTGTATCATTTCGTTGCCTAAAATATTTTGATGTCAATTTAATAATCATAACATGAATAACAATAATAACAGTATCAATAGCAATGGAATTAATAAGAAAAACACATTTTCCTGCCAATTCAAGGAATTGGGAAATCAGGATCAGTAACTAGGGCCCACTGATAGACTCCTTGCTGGCAGAGCACATGTGGAGCCATCTGTATGTAACAAAATTCACCAAAAACTTCAGGGGGCAGAACATAAATCTGGGGCGAATGGGTGAAGTGAATTGTATAAAGAATATAAATTAAAGAGCATAATATGTAAAATTATATAGTTACAATTTTTTTTGTTAATAATCATTTCATTATCATTGCTTTATATACAGCTCATCTCCTCTATAGGTATTATTATATCAGGCTTAATTTTCTAGTATCAAGGAACTGTTAATGTTCAAGGATGGGATTGTATTCAGTCATGTCCTATCATCCAGTAAGCTTTCCTTGAGTCTCACTAATCTTGACTAACCTGAGAAAAACTGCAGGGTAAAGTGAGGCATGGTATTTTGACTTTTATTATAGCTTTTGCTCTCATAAAGGAAGCTGGATTTCTTTAGTTTTTTATATGAATTTTCAACATTTGTGTTGGCACAAGTATTGAATATTAGTGAAGTCAAAATCTAAACTAATTAATGAAGTGAGCATTTATAGAGTCCTAATCGTGTATCCCAAAATGTTAATATTAACTCCTAAACTTGTAACCCAAGCCCAAGGTGTTGCTATTTTTGGAACTTGAAAATGAAATGCTAGGGCTAGCTCACACAGGGCTTCCACCATGTCAGAAGGGGATTTTCTGCATGTTGCTGTATTGTTTCTTTAATCTTTTCTATATTGTTACTCATGTATTTTATTGTATTTCCTTCTGCAGAGTAATTTCAAGTATTATTTTGTATAGCATTCTTTATTCAAATATACAAGAAGAAGTGACTTTAGAAATGAAATTATGTACCTATAAAGAAGCTATACAATCCTCACATGAGCCCATCAATCTTATGGCTGATGACTATTTTATCCTGAATTTTAATATCAAATTGTATGACTGCCAGTAGAAATCTGTTAGAACAGTACATGATATATGTAAATTAAGGGAAAATAAGGTTAACATATAGTTGTTACTGATTTCTCTAAAGAAAAGCTATTCATTAAAAAAATTAAAGTCAGTCAACTGGAAACAGACTTACTCAGAAAATCCTAAAGTTATGGTTGGATGTCACTCTGTAGGACAACCTTTGTAACAACAAATTAATGTTTATCATTATTGTTGTTGTTATTCCTATCGTTATTTTTACTATCATCATCATCACTTTTATTATTATGATTTTATTGTTATTTATAATTAGCATCATCATCATCATCATCATCATTATTATTTGTGTTTGAATCTGTACTATTGTTTTTGGTATTGTTATTCCATTATCATGATTATTGTTGACATTGTTATCCCCATTTGTATATGTATTAGTGTTATTATTGTTGACTTTCTTATCATATCATTTTTTCTTTTCTCCATTGTAACATTATTTTTATTGTCTTATTATAATCATTGTTGTTACATTTACAATCACCACAATGACACTTTGATAAACATAATGATAACTAGTGCTAATATCATGATAATGATTATTACTTTTGGTTTCATTATTACATCACTGTTATTATCATCATCATCTTAACCATCAATGTTATTAAAGTTAAACTAATCATTTATAGATCTGATTCAAGGGTTATAAACATTTTCAGGTCATTTCTTACATTTTCATAAATTGGAAGTAGTCTTAACCCATTCTCCCCATGTGGAAAGAATACATACCATGCCCACTGTAATACACGTTTATTTATTGTATTTACACATAGATGGCTCTACAAGTTCTTAATCACCAAATAGCCAGTTTATCAGAACTACCTATCTCACCTATTTACCCTTTTCCTTCACTTTAGCAAATGGTCTTTTGTATCATTTCAATGTCTAAAATATTTTAATGACATTTTGATAATCATAACATCATAACATCAATAACAATTGTATTAATAAGAAAAAGGCATTTTCCTGCCAATTTAAGGACTGGGGAAATCAGGATCAGTAACTAGGGCCTACTGATAGACTCCTTTCCGGCTGAGTAATGTGGAGCCATCTGTATGTAACAAAATTCGCCCAAAACTACAGGGGACAGAACATAAATCTGGGGGTGAATGGGTTAAGCCATTTTGTTTAACAGTAATGATTTTATTAGCTGTTGATAACAATTAATACCATGCTGAAGGGTGGCATGTATGGACATTTCTTATTGTATTTATTGCATTTGCTAATCCCCATGATTTATTTGCAATATATCTTTTTAGTAGGAGGATGTTATCATAACTGTAAGACAGAAGTTTCCCCTCTTTTTTTTTCTAACATGTTGCTCATATTTCTGTGACATATTAGTGTACCTTATTATTTTCTCTTTCAGCAAAGTGGAGTCTGCTTTTTACGATAGCAAGATTCGTGTGAATGGTCAGAAAGTGATGAAAAAGAGTAAGCAAGTAAGTTCTCCTTGTTCCTCACCTGTGTTAGATTAAGTTAGGTATTTTGCATATTTTATGCCTGGATGGACTAGAACTTATTGTATGTCATAGACATGGTTCCGTGGCTATTTGTCGAAAGTTCAGGAAAGAGTCTCACTAGTTGCTTCTGCCAGGGCCATGCTGAGGGACAAGCTTTTATTAATCAGCTATAAGGAACTGACATTGATGTTGGTTACGTGTTTGTGTTTAGTTGCTGATATAAATACTATACTCTAATATTTACATTATAGAAGTTTTCTGTTCTAATTACACTACAAGATTTTAACATTGAGATTATTGGTTTACTTTGATGATTATTTTATTCTGAATACAATAGAGAAATGTGTAATCTGTCTATTATCATATGGTATGTGCAGTGGAGCCCATTTATGTACTTACTCTCCCTAAATTTGGAAGCTGGCTACACCCCTGCTTTTAAATGTAAAATTGAAACAAAATGAAGTATTGTACAAAATGTATGAAGCAGCTAAAGCATTTTTTGTCAGGGTTTCATTCTATTAAAGTTTTAAAAAATCTTAAAGGCTTCCCTTGAAAACAGAGTTCAGGTTGCTCGCCTTGCTCCCCTTCTAGCAAGGAGTGCCATATATCCACGCATAGAAGTCTCCATACTTGCTATTAATATAATGTTCATAGATAAGGGTTCTGCTTTCTAACTGAAGTGCAGACATCATCGGCCTAAGTGCATGGAGAACAAAATCCTTGTTTCCTCCAAATGCTCTCTCATTATATTATGTTCTTGAAATCCATGCTAGACTAGGGACATAACACAAGTGATTAGTGGGAGTCATGGGATGTATAGTACAAATGATTAGTACTTTACTACCAAAGTAATTATTGTTGAAATGTGTATCCAGTGAATCTGCTTGTGGAATGTGAATAAAAACACTTGTATTTTTTCAGCTTCAAGAGGAGGATGAAGTTGATATCATAAAAGCTGTGTCAAGCAAGAACCCAGCCTTCTTAGATATTTCACGCGTTGTGGTATTGAGCATCGGCAGCTATAATGAGGATACTGACAAGATACAAGTCAGGCTTAGAAAATATCCACAACTACTTGTTGAGAAATATGAGGATGACTTTGAAACATCCTCATAATGCTATCTTCTGATGTTTGTAAAAAAAAAATTATATGGAAGTCAGTTGGTATATTGTTCATATGCAGTTAAAATATTTATTATCATCCATACAATTTGTACATAATAAAAATCCTTAATTTTAGTATGTATTTTTGATAAGAAACCTTTACTTTTAGATAAGAAATGCAGTCATAAATAACCATTCATAATTTCACTCTTTTGCTACAATTACTGTTAAGCTTGTAACCTTGTAACCATATGCATCAGTAGATTTGTATAAATAAAGATTATTTTCACTTTATA